GTACACAGTAGATTGCCCCTCAACATACAAGAATCACTGTTCAGAATTGATTAGTTTTAAAACATTTAACCCACTTCTGCAAATTGGTAGACGCCAATAGCACATGAGCTGCTCATCAAAACACAATTAAGTGAGTATTTATTTTCCTTTCACGTAATAGCATCTAGTTTAAATGTGCTACATGGTAAGCAAATATCGCAATGAAAGAACAATTAGGAAGTGCAGTAGAATTTAATTTTTAAATTAGGCTGGCATATTTTATGAATGTCAGACAGCCACAAGTCTGCCTGTTTCATTCATTTTATCTGTATTAAATAAATAATTAAAACTGCATAATTTAGTGTATTTATTTATTTTAGTTAGTATCTGGTGAAAGTCCTGCAAAACCAAAGGTTGAACAAAAAATATGTGATACAGCCTCCTACGTTAACTTATAGAGCTGAGAGCAGTAAATAACGCCAGATTTAAATGAATTTAGAGCCGAAAAAAAAAATTAGAACTTTGATTTATCATATTCTACCAATTAAATATATGCAAATCAGATTAAAATGTCACATAATAATGATTCACTTCAATCTGATAACAATTATGAGTAGATATAACAATAACACAAACTTTTGTTTGAATTCGTTTGTTGAAGCGGACACCAGTTTGAAATACCTCCCTACGTATTTTTATATTTGCCTACCAATGATAAGCATGTTGTTTTTAATAACAAACATGATATATCAGCAATTAACAGTCATATTATATCAACATTATGAAATTAAATCATCCAAATCAATATTTGTCACACCCACATTGCCATAAATCAAACCAACGAAAATATTACAGTGATAGCAATGTATTCACAGGAATATTTATTGATCAAAATTGCTCTTTCTGAACTTCGTGAAATCTATACCTTAAACTCGACTAATAAGGTGATAAATCTCAAAGAGTCAAACACACAAGCTAAATCAGAAAAAAATTGACCAATCAAGAAATGCCTTGGGGAGAATCATCCGCATATGTTTTGCACAATTGGGAAAGCCTGATAAACATTCATATATTAGAGGGGGGGGGCTTCATATAACATTATTTTGGAATCTTCATTTTAGCTTAGTTTATTATCACTGAAAATTTTCATAGAATTAAAATGTTTATTTTTTTTATTATCAATGATTCGTCACAAAGTCAATGAAAATAAACAGGAAATGAAGCTATTTTTTAGTGCATTTTATACATTCATGAAAAATATTATTAATTATTTCCAATTAAAATAAATTATTTAATTTAATTTCTGAATCAATTAAAGACTGTATGTCAATGGATGATCCAAACATTTTATTAGCACATTATTTATCTTGGTTGCACATGCTTCAAAAATGTTATGAAGCTTTCAGATACTGGATATGACAACTATGAAATATCAGAAAAATGGATTAATTGGACAAATCAGAAAAATAATTATTTGGAACAGGATGGCTGAATTAGTAGAAAACTGACACTTGTATTTTTTGTTTGCTTGAATCATGAGAATAGATTGTTTGAATGTGTAGAAAAAAATATTTCAGTTGAAGGAATTCATAACAAAATATGGAGGTGACTGACTTGTGATACCTGAATCTCCTGCCAGATGGTTGAATTGCAAGAACAAAAATAAAATATTATCTACTGAATAATTAATGACAAATTGTCTACCTTAAATGTTTGTTACATATAGTAATATTATTTTGCTCACAAAATTTCAAACACATAAGTTATAATCAAGACAAGAAGATGCCGGTATGCAAGTAAAATCTACATGCGGCTAACCACGCACTTCGTATATTCTTTTGTCCCACTGGAGATGAATTAATTGCTCTATATAGAGAAACACACTGCTACCAGCAGAAAGCTGAATTTTTAAACCACCCTTACAAAATACAGTTGAAGACAGAACTTTGTAAACTAAGCAGGTCCCCGATAGACAAATATGCCTATGTATTTCCAGTACATGTAATTTTAACAACATGTTTGTATTACTAAATTGAGATTCCCATGCCAGGAGAAAAACAAAAGAGCACATGTTGTTGCAGAATGGTTCATGTGGCACGTGTCAAACTGTAGAAGATAGTGATAATAGCTATTAATAATGTCGTCCAGGAGTTTGCAGGGTAGTGCATTTCTTTCACAACTACCTAGACCACATGGTATCCTTGATGCTCAAAGGCAGAGAACTAATTAAACATAAATATACAATTTTTTTTTCTAAGGCTTCTTTACCTCCAAAAGATGAAATTGAATGACACAAGGGAATTGGACAAAAGCCATACATCATTTGAAAACAATACAATGTATACATGTACCTGTATAAGTGTATATATGTACATGTATATACGCAGCCACGCCCTGACAATAGATCATGATCTGATGATTGCCTGACAGTGGACGCAGCATAATAGATTACTAGATTTATTTATAATAAGCACATTTGACCGCTTTTGTTGAGACTCAAACCTGAGTGCACAAGCATCATGGCTACATTTGTAAAAGTTGCCTTCAATGAGAACAGATCAATTTCTACAGCTATGCATTACACCACATCTTTCTTTAGTACTAGCATTATAACCTTGACAGTATTTATGAAAGCATGTGGTATATCAAATCAATACACTATTAACACATTACTCAAACTTTGTTCACAACAGTATGTTTAATGAGCGATGATAGTAGAAGGCTGAATTGGACAGGATGCACACCAAGATGGTAGGGTGCACACCAAGATGGCAGACCGCACACCATGATGGCAGACCGCAGACCGCACACCATGATGGCAGGTGGGTGCACACCAAGATGGCAGGAGGATGCACACCAAGATGGCAGGATGCACACAAAGATGGCAGGAGGATGCACACATAGATGGCAGGAGGGTGCACACCAAGATGGCAGGAAGATGCACACCAAGATGGCAGGAGGATGCACACCAAGATGGCAGACCACACACCAATATGGCAGGGCATACACCAAGATGGCAGGGCACACACCAAGATGGCAGGAGGATGCACACCAAGATGGCAGACCACACACCAATATGGCAGGGCATACACCAAGATGGCAGGGCACACACCAAGATGGCAGGAGGATGCACACCAAGATGGCAGACCACACACCAATATGGCAGGGCATACACCAAGATGGCAGGGCACACACCAAGATGGCAGGAGGATGCACACCAAGATGGCAGGAGGATGCACACCAAGATGGCAGACCACACACCAATATGGCAGGGCATACACCAAGATGGCAGGGCACACACCAAGATGGCAGGAGGATGCACACCAAGATGGCAGACCACACACCAATATGGCAGGGCATACACCAAGATGGCAGGGCACACACCAAGATGGCAGGAGGAT